ATATTTGAGATTTACTTGACAGATATAGGGTATGTTAAATGAAAAAATTTTATATTTAAAAAATAAAAATATATATAAATTAAATATAAAAAATTATTTTTAATTATTAATTAATTTTAAACTAAATACAAAATTTGCGTTCAAAGGGAAACCACATTGCTCAATTTTTATAAAAAAGAACAATTAAGTGCTAGTGATAGGCCCAAGAATGTAAGCTAGTACTTCATATTTGTCACGTTTTCTTAATGTCACATGTATAATTCAATTATAGGAAGTAAATTTGAAGAATTCGGTAAATATATGATTTTTTTATTAAATTTTTAGTATTTAAAAATTATATTAGATTCTAATTAATTTAAAATTTAATTTAATTAAATTTCATACGAAAAATCTTTTTTAGTGTATATTTTTATTTATATAATTTAAATTTAAAATTTTATTTAAAAAAATTCAAATCTCTTTTATTCGGATCAACTTATAATTGTTAGTATTGGTAATAAACCTACAATTGTTTTGGCGGGCACTTTGCTCCCAAAACAAAGTGACGTGATTCAAATATGAAAAAAAAAAAAAAAAACCAGAGAAGTCTTGATCTGCCTAATTCATCAATGAGTTAATGTTAATCCCAATAATTAAATAATTTTGGATTAAGAGTCAAAGTTCGCACATACAGAGATCTTAGCTGTGTTAATTAACACAAAGAAAACTATAAAGCTTGTACCAAAAAAAAAAAAAAAGAAAACTATAAAGCTGCTTTCCAATCTAATTAACTGCCTTAACTTCCAATTAAAATATCTCATTCAACCTTAATTTTTTGTAGTATTAACTCTTAGTATTTAAAAATACATTAAATTTTGATTAATATAAAATCAAGTTAAATTAGACTTTGCTACCAATTAAAATGTCTCATTCAAACATAATACATTCAAAGTTAGTTCTAAATTATTTCCGACACTACCGTCCAAATGCATAATGTTGGAAAAGCTGGTTAAACCATGACTCTGAAGCTGAAACTTGATTTGTAGATGCAGTTTGACGAGGAAATTTTTTTAACAAAATTAAATTTTCATATTATATATAAAAGAAAAAGATAAACAATTCAAAGTCCCATACCAAGACTTTGAATCTCATAGAAGCTTCTCTTTTGGGTTCCTTTTTCTTTAGAAGGACGAATAGTATATCCTCAACAATTTTTTTTTTTCAAATCAAAATTAATTGCCAAATTAATCAGTGCAATAAAAGTGTAATTTGAATTATTATTAAAAAAATTTTAATAAAATTCTTCGCTACATTAATTCAGTATTGTTATTTTAATAATTTTGGTGCGGAAAAACATGAAACCCTATCTTCAGAAAGAAAGCAAAAGACTTTGGCCTACATGCATGAATATATAATTGATCCAGACAGGTTTTGACCTTTTTTGGTTTATAGAAAATAACAAGACAAGCAAAATTAATTGGAGCGAAGAAGCTTAGAAAAAGCAGTATTTATGATGATGGAAGACAGACCTACTGATGTGTTTCCTTATGTCTTGTAATTTTATACCTATCAATTGAGCACCGATAATCTTCATCAACTGGTTAGAATTTGGAAGACATAATTCCACTATAAATGGCCCACAAGAACTTCTTAAACAACTAAGATTAAAATATATATTGAGATTTCATATTCAAGTTTTACTTATTATTAATTTAGGAAAATGACATAATATTAAATACAAAAAAATACTACATCAAAAAATGACCTACAATAATTTTTTAAACAACTAAGTTTAAAACATATATTGAGATTTCATGTTTGAGTCTTATTAGTAATTTAGGAAAACAACACAATATCAAAAGCAAAAGAATACCATACCAAAAATTTTTAAATCCCTTATCTTCAAACTCAACCCAATGTACTTGATATAGGAAATCCATGAGGAATTAAATTGCTGTATGGAGAGGAGAAATCGAACGGTATCATGATTGGCTGTTATCAATCGGTTAACAGGCTCTAAAGCATGGGGAAAGAATAAGAATTTCTGGCATTTCATAGATGTGCTTGTCAACTGACCAAGTTGTGCCTTTTATCTTCCAAATTCAAAAGTTCAATATTTACTTATCTGCAGGCATGAAACGAGATAACTTATGTTATACCAAAGGTGGGGAAATGGGGATTTACAAGCAATGAAAATCACACCCTTTTTATCTTTATATGGTGCACATCCATGATGAAATGTGCAGAGACACTTGTGTATATATGATTTGTAACATTCATATCCACACACCCATATCCTGAGGAGGCAATATTGAAGCAGGGGGGGTCATTGATATGACGGACTACTTGCTGTCTTAAATAATCAAAACATATGGAAAAGAACAGAAAATGAAACATATTGAAAAGAACAAAAAATGAATAGGGCGGGGGACGTGTAAACAAGAGAGAACCCAAGGTTGGTTGATGTTTATAGATAGAAGGGTTTGGTGTTAAAGGATTGGAGACTTTTGCACATGCTCTTGCTTTTTCCTACCCATCAACATCTTGGAGCTAACGGATTAAAACTGAGGATTCCGCAATGAGACTTGAAGATTAGATGGTACATGAATGAGGCACAAGAATCAACATGTCAATATTATGTTAGAAAATGTCTCCTAATCATAATTTGAGTCTCTATATTAGAGTTTTTAAATTTGAATTTTGGAATCAATGAAAAGGGATTCAAGAAAGGAAAGATTATTCCTTAATTATATTGTCCATCATCTGATTAAAAAAAATATGAACATATCAAATTGATCAAACAAAAGCGTATAATGTTTGATGAAATCGTTATGCAACAACTACCATAGCATATATTTTTAAGCAACTACGGCTAAGCAGCCCCTATAGCTCAGTGGTAGAGCGTCAGTCTTGTAAACTGAAGGTCCGTAGTTCGATCCTGCGTGGGGGCAAAATTATTTTTCTTCATTTTACTGTGTCCTTTTTTGGGCTTTTGGTTCGCACAATTCAATTCCAACAACTTTTGGGCTAGCCCAAATGGAAGGCCGAAGCCCAGCAACTGAAATGGGCATTTTTGTCATTGCCCCAAAACACTAAATTCTATAAAAATCCCCAAACCCTCTCATTGAGCGGAGCAGACCGCCGCTCCCTCATTCACGCCGTGCGGAGATCGGAAATTTCCAATCTAAACCCAACATTTCTTCCTCTTTCTTCAGTTTTTGATTCTATGATATATTACGCGTCAACGAAAGCGTAAATCGCCGGCAATCCCAGCCTCGTCTCCTTCTTCCATCGCCGGCTACGCACCGCTGTCGTAGTACTCGACATCGTTGGATTGCGACATTTCATCTTTGTTTTCGCTCGTGATTTGTGTTGCTTCTTACTGGTGAACGCTCTCTGTTTTCTCAGTGAGGGATGTTCATGTTTCCGAAGCATATATTAAACATTTCGCCAGTTTTAAACAGCGCTGTGGGATCCTTGCTCTCGCATTGCGCTACCTGTCTGCTGGCACAATCTTTAATTTTCATGATCAATTCTTTCTACCTCTGTTTTACTTATACAACTATCAAAAACTGAATGTATTTTGCACCAAAAAAAGGAAAAGTTGAATGGATTCCTATCTCTTTTTGCTAATTTTATCTCTGATTTTTAGCCCCCAACCCCAGCTAAATGGATTCTTTTCTTGTTTGCTTTATTTCATATTTGGAAAAAGTGTCTTGCAATCTTAACATAAAACACTGAACTTTTATTTATGGGAGGGCCCCTGATTTCCCCGAAGCTTCCTGTTTTATAGAGTGTAGAATAGTGCACCCATTTCGTTTTCTGCTTTACTGATTCGCACAGTAAATAAAGTCGTGCTTTGCAGCTGGTTACAGTCCAGACCGGAAATAGGAATTTTGAAAGAAAAAGTGGAAAAGGAAATATTGGAGAAAAGGAAAGTAAACAGTGCAAACTTTATTAGAAATTTAAATTCTGAAACACACAAAAATGAAAGATGCATGATAGTGATAGCTTGTCAGGCTATTGGAACCATAACTGCTTAGAAATTCGCAAATTTGTAGCTTAATCAGTACAGCAACGGTACATGAAGAACTTCTCCATAACACGACCGCATTCTGCGCAAACCACCCTCTCAGGGATGCTTCCGCTGGTCCCTGGTAAAATAAGACGGTTGCAGTGGTGCGGGGTGTGGAGTCCATGGAGGTAATCGCTCAGTGCCCGAACGAAACCCTTCTGGTTCACCGCCTCCTTCCACTGATTAAACTCATTTAAGCTCTTCACCAGGGTATCGCCCTTGGCCCTGGTCATTTCTGCTGAGCCGTGGCATATCACCGCCCAACCCTGATCGCTGCCATCGAAGCTGAGCATTGTCATGATCTCTTGCATTATTGGGTCGTTTTCCACCGTCATGCCGCGCTGCATTTTCGAGTGCCACATGCTTTCCAGCCGGACCCAGAAGAACCATATGAGGCGCACGTCGGTAAAGATATGGCTGAGCTTCTCGGTCGCAATGGTGGTGTTGTTTTTTCGGACCTTCTCCCTGGGGTTGCCCTTCCCCACGTACAGCATCTCCAGCTTGATGTTGGCTGCCTGCGCAACCGCTTGGGCCAATGCGACAAGCTGCCGGATCCATTCAATGTCCTCTCCACCATACAAGCAGATGTATTTTCCTTCTGTAATCTGAAACAACAAACGACTTTGCAATAAGCTCTCATACAATAATTACATAAACTAATATTATTGAAGAATAGTCAACCTATAAAATAAAAATTATTAAATGGAAGATAACCCATAATTTTTGGGGCTTACTTTTATCCAACAGTTTAAGTGCAATATTACAATTTTTCTGTTTGGACCTTGAGAAATTACATACCCAATTGAAGATAGATGGTTCAATGTTATCTGCTAGCAACTCAATATTCCAGTTCGCTCCCTCCCAAAGTGCTTGTTCCCTTGTGCTAGTAAAAGGGTGTGCCACACTCCCCCAGATCCATATCATGTAAATTGCGTTAGTGTTCACAACCTTGCCTTGAGGGTCGAGCACCACCAGCATTGGTCGCTTGTTGAACCCCCAGACTTCCTTGATGTATCGGATCACAGCTGCATCAATTACTGAAGGGTGGTGTACCGAGACCCATGGCATCAACCCTTGAAAGTTCTCAAATTGCTTCTGCTTCTTCTCGTCCCAAGGTGCTTTCCGGTCAACTACCGGGATCCACACCACCTCATACTGACTCTCTGGCCTGTTAGGATGCTGCCGTGCCTCCTGATACATCTGGTCCAGAATTGACAACTCTTCTTGGAGGACATCAAGGTCCGAGATCAGCAGCATCACGATCTTCCTCCTCAAGGGCTCAACACCAACCTGTAAAAGCAATTTTGATTTTGATTCAGCACTCCGAAGAATTTCCATTACGTTTGAAAACAGAGGATAGAATTTGAACCCTTTTCTTGGTTGTTCCCTCAAACAGTGGTGGTTGGCCATCCGGAATGAAAAATAAAACGTTAAGGATCTTCATGTTGTCAATATGTGGTGTCCCAAAGATGCGGACAATTGCTTGAAATGCTTCCTCGTGTATTTTTCCCTCTGCACGCAGCAGAGAGCAAAGTTCACTCATCTCATGACAGTCCAACAATTTGAGTACGAGGCTTTCAAATTAAAGGTTTCAAACTCGAAATTTAACAAGGCAAAGAGTTTACCAATTTGTTGATGACAAAGTCGGAGTTGGTTCATAAGATGGCTATGTATGTTGCTGATCTTATGCGCCAAGCTAGATAGCTCCCAGGCCTCTGATGTCGAAACTATGTGCCTAAGATCAAAACCAGAGAAAAATAAGAAATCAAGAGTCATCAGCAACCAAAAGCAATGGACAATACTCAAAGAGAGACATGAGAGTTGAAAGAGAAGATATACTCATGCCCCATTCCAGTTAGGCTCGTGATTACTGAAGCACAAGCAATGATGCCCCGAATCGTCCAGTAAACAGCGGTGGGGATATGAGCGGTGGCAGCTACCATCTCCGGTGCATCAGGGCTAATGTACTGAACCGGAAGCTCCTTGAAATCAACAATGCACTTGGCCACATCAAGCAAGGCGTTCAGGAGCTTGGTGAGCGCCTCAAACTTGGGTTTCCAAGCTTCAGCACTTTCAAGAACTTCAGGCAGCTGCTTAAGGATTGCCACCCCCTTGGCTAGTGGGTTGGTGGTGTAAAGCTGCGCTACAAGCCAGAATTCACCATAGTTCACTGCAAACGCTGCCAAGACTAGCACAACCTTTGCATCCCATGAGTAGCTCGTGATCATGTTGCATACCGACACAGTTGTTGCATGTGCATCGCCAGAGCCCGAGCACTTACAAGCAATCTGTCATAATGTATATTAATACGGTTAGAAAATGTCGGGATAGAACAATTCAAGCTTGATCTGTACAGTGGTTACCTCGCATGAAATTCGGCTTAAGGTGAGGGAAATAAGGTCAAGAACCTCTTCAAGGGTGCCAGACTGCAGAGCCTTTTCATCCAAGGCATCGGGTTGCGCTTGCGTTCCCTACGCAAAAATTCAAGCTTGTCAGCCACACCATCAAACAAATACAAGTGACATCAACTTGCAAAGAAATTTTTAGCTAGTACATCACCTGAACAATGGCAGGGGTGGCACGGCTGGCTCTGCGGAAGATGTCTTCGACAATGTGAAGAATAGGCCTCGCAGCAATTTCCCTGCCATCAGGTGCATGACTTGACAGAATCTGCTTCAGCATTACTTGGTCATCAGAGGACGAGAACATGCGGCGCTCGTTCCTCGTTGCCTGCGTCCCACCAGGTGCAAGAGTCATTGCCATTTTTAGACAGGGGTAAGAATTCAAGAATAGAAACAGAGGATTGTGTTTGAACAATTTGCTCAGCTCCAAGGCCCAATTTATACTTTCAGTTCATGGAGAAAGGAATAAAGGTCAATAAAGAATTTGCTACCTTGCTTCTGTTGGGGTTTATATTCCGGGCAAAAGGATTAAAATTTTGGATAAGGGATGTTGGAAATTTCATTGTCACTTGAATCATTTTCTTATTCCTTTACAGCATAAAAGGTTAGTAATATTAAGATTCTTCAATTGGGTATATCTATCTTTTTCCAATTGCATGAAACACATTTTACTGTGGATGTGGAAAATTCTTGCTTAACCTATCCTGTTTCTCTTATTTTTACTGTGGATGTGGAAAACTCTTGCTTAACGTATCCTGTTTCTCTTATTTTTACTGTCAAAGGATTCTTATAAAATTTTTAATTATTTTTAGTGTCCTTGGGTCAGATTGTTGTTGGAAGGAATGTTTTGTTTCCTCAGTACTATGTTTTGTAGTTGATAATTTAGCCGGCTTAGTTGCTTCAGCAGGATGATGATCTTAATTGAGAAGTGAGATTTAGAAACTTCGGGCCTGAATCAGGGGGATTTTGTATAAATAAGAACACAATTGTTTAGTATCACCAGTACTCAGATTTTAAATTAAAGATTTTAAATTCAAAATTTTAATTAAATGAGAAAAGATTTAAAAGTAAGGAAGTGATTTAAAAATAATGAAGGATTATTTTTTTGTGTAATTTACCATCTGATAAATTAAAAAAATAATTTTTTAAAATTATTTAAATTAAAGATATCACTTTTGCAATCTTACTAAAAAAATGAATTAAGTGGATGTATAGGGTTATATCTTTAATTAAAAACTTTTTAAGTGGATATGTATGATTATATCTTTGATTAAAAATTTTAAAAAACTGAAGGTTTTGATTAGTAAAATCACAAAAATTATTTCTTTGAAATGAAATTTTTTAAAAATAATAATCTTAATTAGTAAGAAAAAATATATGTTCTTGATTTTTTTTTTTTAAAGGTTAAATGGATATTTGCACGAAATCTTTTGAATTAGGGGTTTTGAGATTCTGGGGACTTGATAACTTGAAGAACGCCAGGCATCTTGACCACTGGGACCAAATAAGCTTTTTCTTTTGCTAAGCAGTCTTTTAAGGACAAGACAAAGACATATTTACGGTAACACATTAACATAAAACACTCTTCTTTTGGATTTAAAATGACATGTGCCCCTAACTATTTGTTGGATTAAATAGAAGAAATTTTATTTTTTAAAAATAAAATCTTTAATTAAATTTTATAAACAAAAAACTAAATATTGAAAGAATTTTTTTTTATCAATTTAACTTATCTTAATTTTAAATTAATTAAAATTTAATATGATTTTTAGATATTAAAAATTAATTTAAAAAAAAAAAAAAACGTTTGTTTGTACTTATTTGGTACATGATCGTGAGAATGAAAGAGTATTGTACTTCTCACCAGTGAGCTAGGCACAATTTCTCCATGAAAATGACGGAGGAGTAAAGCTCCCATCTATCCATCTACCTGAAAAGAAAAAGGGGCCTACATCCTTGTCCTTGATAAAAGAAGGAAGCTATTCAAAAGAAAGAGCATGAGAACAAAAGGATTTTTTTTTTCTTTGAATATATTTAGAAGGATTGGATTCGAATAGTTGTTCGGGAAGAGGAAAATACTCTTTAATATAGCTTTGTTGCTACTTCCCCGAAGGTCTAAGTGCATGAGAACAAAAGAATTTAGAGCTCACGACTTCATAATATTACATAAAGGAGTTCATATTTGACTCAATTCAGGTAAAAACTAATTAAAATTATTATTAAATTACATTAATTTCAATAAAAAAAAATTAAAAATTAATTAAATTAGTTTAGTTTGTAGTTTTATTTTATAACCATCTTATTTAAATTGATATTAAAAGAATTAGTTAAAATAAGAGGATTTTTCTCAATTTTTATATTTTCACCATTTATTCATTCTAACAATAAAATTGTGTTCTAGATACTTCAATCTATTATTCTCTCCGTTTATTTTTAATATATTTAATTTGATTTTTTGATTTTTCAAATACAATTTTTAAGTAAAAATTTAATAATTTATACAACCAACAATTGAATTTTTTTTTTCTTTCTATGTGAGTTCTTATTGAGTAATTTAATTTGATAAAAAAATTAATTATTATTTATATAATATATTAAATTTTCATTTAAAATTCATATTTAAAAAGTAAAACAGTCAAATTAAATTTACTAAAAATAAATAGAGGGAATATTAATTTATTAGGTTTTGCTTTTATTGTTGTGTGATGAAATTTAAGAGAGGAAGGGCAATATAATCAAACACTCAAAAATATATTTTTTTAAACAAAACCGATCAATATAATCTTGTAATAGTTAAATTAGTTTGGTTGTAGGATATTAATTGAATTAAATTGATCTAACATATCTTCAATCCAATTAAATTAGATTGGATAGAAAAATAGTGAAAACCCAATTCATTCCAACTACGATCACTCCTAGTATTAGAGTAGATTTGAGTCATTTGACAGATATTGAATGGTTTAAGACTTTGGTTTTTCATGTTCCTTTGTCTTGTTTTGGATTTTTTTTTTTTTTTTGAACTGAAGTTAATTAAACATCTTGGTTGGGATTGAGGCTCTAGAGACTAGTTTATTTGAATGAGTGAATATATGTAGTTATAATATCGATACCAAGGAAAGGAACGCATGCTTCTTTTTATTTATTTATTTATTTCGGTATATTTAATGATGGATAAGATTTATTTATACTTAAATATCATATGTTACATAAAATTTTGATAATTTATTTTTTTTATTTTAATAATTGATATTTATTATGATTTTTTAATAAAAATAATAATTTTTAATAAATATGGTAAAAATAAATAAATTTTAACGGTTAAAAATGCAAGTATACGTAAGCATATGCACCACCCAATTTTTTGTTGGACCAAGCCCAATATGAGTCATTGGCGGTTTGGTCTTTGGTGCCTCTACAACTATAAGGCCCTCTTATGTCTCTGCCACCCAATTATGGGTTGGATGGACCAAGCCCAATAAGAGTGATCCATTAATAATGAATGTGAATGAACTGTTGGATTATGAGGTTAGTCGTAGGGTGAGCATTTTTTTTTTATTTAATTTTTTTTTCGGCAGAAGAGGGTTTGAGCTATATCTAATATTTAATTTAAAAATTTTTTAGTATAATTTTTTAGATTTGGTATTTATTTAAATATTTAAAAATTTATACGTAATATTTAATCTAATAAATATTGGATAATTTACAATATGTATTTATGAATTTAGTTTAGGAAAAGAAAAAGTTTAATATGAAATGTTATTATTATGTGTATTATATATTTAATTTAAAGTTTATTATTTAAACGAATTATTATTATTATATATGTGGTTTGTTTAGCTTATAGGCCTTAACTTTTATTTTTATTTTGTAAAATTATTATTATATAGACATTAAATATAATATAAATACATATAGAATTTTAATTATATAAATATAGATAATAAATAAATTAAATAAATTGATTAAATATATTGAATAAATAATTTTAAACTCTTATATTTATTATTTAATTTTTATTTATTGTGTATTATTTTATACTCATTATTTACTTATTTTTCTTACAATTTAAATACAATACTTATCACACTAAACTTTATAAACTAATTATTAGGTATGCCTATTATTTTAATAATAATTAAAATTCGAGCCACATCCCCTACCCATACAAATACTTATAAGCAATGCATGTACGATAGCCAATACCCCACCTATTGTGCACTCGCTATCACATCATTGGATGAGATATTCGAGTGGGGGGTATCAGCGCCAGGCGGTCGGTATAAAACCCAAGATTGTACTGAATTGAGTTGTGCCAGCACCACAGAAAACTCGGTCGGTTTTGAGCCCCTTCTGTCCTCTTTTCCCTGAACCAGAAAATAATTGTTTATTTTGAAACAATTAGTT